CTAGTCTATAGTCTAGTCTATAGTCTAGTCTATAGTCTAGTCTATAGTCTAGTCTATAGTCTAGTCTATAGTCTAGTCTATAGTCTAGTCTATAGTCTAGTCTATAGTCTAGTCTATAGTCTAGTCTATAGTCTAGTCTATAGTCTAGTCTAGTCTATAGTCTAGTCTATAGTCTAGTCTATAGTCTAGTCTATAGTCTAGTCTATTAGTCTAGTCTAGTCTATAGTCTAGTCTATAGTCTAGTCTATAGTCTAGTCTATAGTCTAGTCTATAGTCTAGTCTATAGTCTAGTCTATAGTCTAGTCTAGTCTAGTCTATAGTCTAGTCTATAGTCTAGTCTATAGTGTAGACTATAGTCTAGTCTATAGTCTAGTCTATAGTCTATCGAAACAAATCGGCTTCGGTAGGGGAAACGTCTGAACTGGCAATCTTATGATCCCATCAAATACAGAGCATTACCTTCGTGATATGGATTTTTGTCTTTGAATTCGATTCCGCCGGATGACTTGCTAAAGGCTTCTAAACCTGAGCAAGTAATGTGTTATTCTTCTAGGCAAAGAAGACTAACATCTTATGGTAACCCAATTTTCGAATTACCACCCAAACAGCAGAAACTACTAAATCAAAAAAAGTAATTGATCTTATTTAGCTTTCAAATATTCAAAAACTTCTCTGCAAATAAATTTCTTCAAAATTCATACAATAATTTTCTGCAACACATTTTAATAACGATGATGATAATGATGTATGTATTGTAAAAAAAACTTTCATACTCTCTTAATCACTCAAAAACTAAAAGCAGCGTAAGTTTATTTTATGATTAATATTTATACTTAATTGCATTAAATGTAAAGTGGTTGCATTAAATAGTATATATTGTGTATATTAGAGCGATTTTTGTTTATTTAACAAACATCGGTTTATTTAATTTAATATTTTTTTCTAATCTTTTCGTTGTTCTAGATTTCAGTGTGACAGATGGATGGAAGATGCATCTGCTGACGCATTTATTTGCATGCATTTATTTCCATAATGATTTCTTTTAGAATTGGTGGCGTTAGTTTTAATAAATAAGAATAAAAATTTCATTTTATGAAAATTTTATTTATTTTTATTATTTTCTGTTGAATTATACTAGATGATGTGGTAGGAGGTGGTTGAGAGAGCATTAAGAAAAAAAAGCTTTTTATAAGACAAAGTTGCCAGCTTAGTTAAATTGATTATACGCTTCCACTTCCTGAGAGGGTATAAGTCGAAGTAATGTAATGTGAACATATATCTACCTTGCCGCTCTTATTTCACGATGGTTATTTTTGAACCATAGGGTGATCTGTTAGACGACTCTACATCCCTCTTTTCGGTGCTTGCATCCACAAGCAGGTGGCAATTTTTGTCCATGGTTCCGCCGGTCCATGTTATAAACGCTTTGTTCAAGTTCTTGAGTATCCTATACACTTGACACCAAATAATTTTCATTTTCATGAAGGAACTCTCCCATAAACGGGATAAGACAAAGTCCAAACTCTGCCCTCTTTATTAGCGCATGAACTTAAATATTCCTCTTAAATTTAAGCTGAGTTAATCCTTATTTACTTTATGACTAATATTCATGGGGAATATCTTCATTTATATACTAAAGTTCAAAATAATAATTTTAAATTTGAACTCTTTATACAAAAACCATAAATATATTAGCTGGTACTCGATATATATTTGTTTATATATAGTTCCATATAAACAATTAAACTTCACATGTATTTCCAAAAAAACTACCAAAACATTAAATTGAGTGTAAATCGTTTGAAAATCTTTTAGACTGAGAAATATTTTGTAAATGACTCACAGGAAAAATGTACTGAAACCATAATATATAAATGAGTGTATTGTATAGTTAAGGAAAGGGGTTTGTATGGCAGAAATTAAAGCCCCAACATAGGAATGATTGTGGTATTTATTTCGTTAAGAAGATATAAAAATGTGAGAGAGAATTGCAAAAAGCCGGCATGAAATATTTGTTTGTGAGTGAATTGTGAGTGATCGAGTAATTGAGCAGGTTTTTTTATGAATGCGATTTAAAAGTTGGAGACTCAGGGTTGGAAAAGTGTATTGAATCTGTGTGATTGGGAAAAATGGTACTTATTAGGAATAAAATACTAAAAGTAGAACAAGAAGTTTATAAAATCGGTAACGTGGATTAAAAAGTCTAGTCTATAGTCTAGTCTAGTCTATAGTCTAGTCTATAGTCTAGTCTATAGTCTAGTCTATAGTCTAGTCTATAGTCTAGTCTATAGTCTAGTCTATAGTCTAGTCTATAGTCTAGTCTATAGTCTAGTCTATAGTCTAGTCTATAGTCTAGTCTATAGTCTAGTCTATAGTCTAGTCTATAGTCTAGTCTATAGTCTAGTCTATAGTCTAGTCTTATAGTCTAGTCTAGTCTAGTCTAGTCTAGTCTATAGTACAGTCTATAGTCCAGTCTATATTCTAGTCTATAGTCTAGTCTATAGTCTAGCCTATAGTCTAGTCTATAGTCTAGCCTATAGTCTAGTCTATAGTCTAGTCTATAGTCTAGTCTATAGTCTAGTCTATAGTCTAGTCTATAGTCTAGTCTTTAGTCTAGTCTATAGTCTAGTCTATAGTCTAGTCTATAGTCTAGTCTATAGTCTAGTCTATAATCTAGTCTATAGCCTAGTCTATAGTCTTGTCTATAGTCTAGTCTATAGTCAAAGGTCAATAAGATTGATTAGTAGATTAACATGATAGTTCATTATTCACTAAACAGTTAGTCAAGTAGTGTCGAAAGGTCTCCGTTTTGTCAGGACACCAAAACTGATTTATGATTAACTAGATTGTACCTGAGATGGAGCTACCCAATCAGAGTCAAAGATCAATGATCAATGAAATTTTTTTAACATTTTCTATTTTCCATTAAAATTGTTCAATTATATCTTTTTAAGAACAGTTATATTCTAAAGGAGTATTAAGGTCAAAGGTCAATCAGAATGTTCAGTTGATTATCATGGTAGTTCATTACGCGTTAACGGTCTAATAGCGTCGAAAATCTCTAAATATTACTCCTCAATTTATCTTTAGATTCGGGCTCTAGACGTGAGAAATCTCGTAGGTTATTAAGTCCAGAACCAGATAACTCACCAAAGTTAGTTATAATGTAAACGCTAAGGAGGGTGAAAGACCGTTTCATCTATATTCATTGAAGGGTATCCCAAGTCTACTAGATATCTACCATCTATTACGGATTTGTTCAGATTAATATATTAGATTTCAAACTTTAAAAAACAAATCTGAGATTACCACTTCTAATGGACTCCAGCGGAATTGTGACATTCATTGCATTAGAGATTTTTGTTAGACATTCTGGCTAATACGTATGACAGTGTAGACCAAAGAAAAAAAACGAACAAGATGATGAGAAATTCTCATACCAAGTTCTTTGCAGAAGACACGAAGACAATGTTTGAACGATCTGTAAAAGCGCTTGTGTTATATTCAATCACTATCCCAGCAACAGTAGCTTCAGGAAGAAACTCTGTCTTCGAACTATCTCTCAGAGTCACTAGGTGGAATGATATAGTTAATTGTGACTTTAATTGTGTTACAGATTTCCAAGAAGTTCAGGCTAATATGTCCGCCTATGTATGATCGTCTACATAGTCCTTAGATTAGGTTTAAATTTGACCACACAAGTATGTGTGTATACACAAGACCAACAATTGATCCAAAGTGAGCCCTCAGAGAAGTACTGGTGCCAATGCCTCCAGTATCATGTAGACTGCCTCTATATAGCTCATTAGCTTTCCTTTCATACCGCTTTGTAAGTTTAATATACTTTACCATTTTTATTAGATTTACTCCCCTTAACTCTTCAAGGTTATAGTCCTTATGAGCAGAGTAATAAACGAACAAGATGATGAGAAAGTCTTATGACAAGTTCTTTGCAGAAGACACGAAAGCCTTGGAGATATATTCAATCACTACATCAGCAAAACTAGCTTCAGGAAGAATCTCTGTCTTTGAATTCTCTATCACAGTCACTAGGTGAGGTGATATAGTCATATGGTTAGTTCAAGACTGAGCACCGCTATCTTAAGATCCTTCTATGCTCGTCTTTTCTTGATTTCCAACATCCTAATTATATAGTCATGTGGTTAGTTCAAGACTGAGGGCCGCTAGCTTTGTGGTTTTATGCGCTTTATGCTAAAGTTTGTGAAGCACAAAAGTAATGGTATTACTTATATATCGATCGACGCGAAATAACTCGGAGTCGCTTAAGCAATGTCCGTTCTGTTCGGCTGGAGGTCCATGTTAAACCTTTTAGACGAAGTTTACGAAATATATTAATGCAATTTGAACCATACGTGTTTTAGGGCTTAAGGACGAAGTGTATTGAATATCCTTGAAATCGGTTCATTATATAACCTAGACCCTTTGCTAGAGGACCTTCGGTTTAGGGCTACTACGTGAAATATATTACAATGTCTTCAAAAATTAGGACAACTAAGCTTTCTATAACTATAAAGCCGATTTTCATAACGATTGGGTCCCATTTGACCCTAATAGCTTTTAGGTTTAAAGGATGGAGCTATTTGTTTTGTACTCCTCGAATTAATGTAAGAAAAAATCTGCCTACAAAACTACATTTTCACACCAATGTGCAAAGAATACCAACATATTTTAAATCCCCCTTTAAAAATGCTCAAAAGAAATCTACAAACTTGTACAACTCTGACATTTGGTGGAGAAGATCTACGATCTGTTGTTGGTCTTCGAAATGTTTTATAAACAGAGAACAACAAAATAATCAGCTGTAAGTACAACAACAACAATAAAGAGCAGGCACACAATGTCGCCGTCAACGTTTTTAATGACGTCAACGACAACGCCACTGCTGTAGATGATTATGATCAAAATAATGATCATTTAAGCGAATGCTAGGTTTGGGGTTTAAATATTTTAGTCGTGTGCCGTTCCATCAGATACGCGAGAACAGCGAACGAGTAAACAACGTTAAAACGCTTGTTCATTTGAATAAAAATTTTTAGCAAGATTATTAACAATATTATATATAGCAAAGAAGAAGACAAAAAAATTATAATAATAATGAATAAAAACAAGAAACAACGAAACTGTTAAACTTGCTAATAAAGGATTTTTTTGTATATAAAAAAAAATTTCTTGCTTAAAGTGATCTTTTGTTCGGGAAAAATTAATAAAAATCTGAAATTAGTGGTTTATGGAAGAAAAAAAGTTTTTATAAAGAATATAACTGAATGATCGGGTCAGTAAACCTTTAACAAGTGTGATTTTTTTATATATAAGATTTGCAAACTTCTTTCAAAGTGGAGACAGTTAATGCATTAAAAAATTTTTTTAAAAAAAATAAAAAAACGTGATGATTTTTAACTAAATAAATTTAGACAAACAAATCTGGTATAATTCCCATAAATAAGCGGTAAAACGTTTTAAATAAAAGCAAATATTTCGGATTCTTCAAAAACGAAATAAAAAACCAGCTAAAGCCATAAATATTTTAAACCAGACGGAAGGACGGACAGACGGACAGACAGACAGACACTGGTGGGCGTTTAGTTAAACAAGCCAATGTGTGTGCCAAACACATTTTTTAACATTTCTCATTGATTTATGAAATAAGTTTAAACGCTAGCAAAATACAAATAAACAAATAAAAATAAATTAAATTGTTAAAAATGAAAGAAAAAAAATTTACACACAGTGAAGCAAAAAAGTTCAAATAAAATAAAACTGCATCATTGATTTTGAAAAATTCCAACACGACAAACTAATAAATCAAATAAGAAAAATTTATAAAAAAAAAAATCTCAAAAATTCATACAGGCAAATGTTAAGAAATGAAAACGCAACATTTACCATAACTGCAGACAACTGCAACAACAAATATATTTAAACGATAATTAACAACAAAGATTTTCAAGTGTAACATGCAAATTTTTAAATAAAAAATTTTTAATTGGGTCGTTCATAGTCGTCAAATACAAATACACGATCATTACAAGTAATTGCAGTTTGAATACACATTTTTTCTTCAAACATTTAAAGTGTTAAGCTTAAAAAGCGTTTTAGCTTAAAAAAAAAAACCTACTCCTCCCTCCTTACGAACGAGTGTTGTAATAATCTAATGAACTCCAACTGCATTTCCATTCAATTTAATTTACATATTCGCGTAAAATGCGTAATTAACAGCTAAAGAAAAAATGTATATGATTACGATTTTGGTTTGCAAATTGTTCGCGCATACATAAATTGTCTTGTAATTGACATTATTTGATTTTGTATAAAAATTTATACAAATAAAATCGTTCAAACAAAATTTATATTTTTTTTGTTTGTGTGTTAATCCAGTGCCATTTAATTGTTTAACAAAAACAAAATTAACAAAAATGTATTGTGCGCGTTTGTAATTTATATTTCCAAGAAATTTCAATTAATAATATATGAGCATTTAATAAAAATTGTTTAATTTTGAAAGAAAAGTGAGTGAGTTCTAATGATCACTTAGAAACCAAATAAACTATAAAAGTAATTAGGTTTGCTCTAATGTTTAAAACAAGTAATGCATTACAGTAGTAATTACAATTATTTGTAATGAGTAATAGAACAATAATGAATTACAATTACGTACATTGGATTACATGTTAATTACAATTACTTGTAATGTGTAATAGCATAATAATCAATTACAAGTACTTATAATTCAAATATCACCCATTCTAAATATATGTATATAATTGTAATGGAAACCCATTTAATTACAAATACATAATTTTAAAAAGTAATTGAAATTATATTTCCAAAAAATTTCAATTAATAATATATGGGCATTTAATAAAAAAATGTTTAAATTTGTAAGAAAAGTGAGTGAGTTCTAATGACCACTAAGAAACCAAATGAACTATAAAAGTTATTAGGCTGTTCTAATGTTTAAAACAAGTAATGCATTACAGTAGTAATTACAATTACTTGTAATAAGTAATAGAACAATAATGAATTACAATTATTTACAATTGATTACATAATTACAGCAAGCAATTCATTGCAGTGTTAATAACAATTACTTGTAATGTGTAATGGCACAGTTAGTAATTACAATTACTTATAATTGATCATTCACTCATTATAATTACATATAATTGTAATGGAAAACCATTTAATTACAAATTTTTAAAAAGTAATTGTAATTATATTTCCAAGAAATTTTACGTAATAATATAGGGCATTTAATAAAAATATGATTAAATTTGAAAGAAAAGTGAGTGAGTTCTAATTATTAAATAGAAACCAAATGTACTATAAAAGTTATGAAGATCCTCTAATGTTTAAAACAAGCAAAATGCATTACAGTAGTAATTACAATTATTTGTAATAAGTAATAGAACAATAATGAATTACAATTATTTACAATTGATTACATGTTTACACCAAGTATTTCATTACAGTGTTAATTACAATTACTTGTAATGTGTAATGGCACAATAACCCTTTATAATTACTTTTTTAAAAAAGTGATTGTAATAAATACAAAACAAAGTAATGCTAACATACTTTCAAAATTTAATTTTTCTTAATTACAATTAAAGTAATTGCTATTAATAACATTTACAAGTAATTGTCAGGCCCAAAGAGTAAAATTAGAAAGAAAAGTGATAAAAGTAATCAGGCTCCCCCAAATGATTATATAAAGTAATTATTTACCGTATCAATAACAATTACGTATAATATGTAATGAAACAATTAAACAAATTACAATTAACTGATTACATTATTACAGCAAGTAGTTCATTACACTATAAATAACAATTAGTTATATTATGTAATGGAACCAATTGTAATTACTTATAATTGAACTATCAATAATTATAATTACTTGTAACTGTAATGGAAAATCATTTAACAGGCGCCCCATATGATTCCATTAAGTAATTCATTACAATATCAATTACAACGATTTTGAACATGCAATTACAAGTAATTGTAATGTAAAACAATTCAATTACATTTACACAATTCTAAAAAAAGTAATTGTAATGAATGCAGAACAACAATTCTATCAAAATTAAAATGTTTATCAATTACAAGTAAAGTAATTCTAATTGAATTGTTATCAATTACATGTAATTGATTATAACAACTACAATTACTTGTAATATGTAATAGAACCAATTACAATTATTTATGATTAAACTATCTACAACAACTTATAATTGTAAGGGTATATTGTAATGGTATATATGGTATATATTATATAATTTAAAAAAAAGTAATTGTAATTAATACAAATCCATGTAATGGATAACATATTTTAAAAATTGTTCTTCTAAAATCATTTTAAACAGAAACTTCTCAAATAATATTAAAATTTATAAAAAATGTTCTGAAAGCTTTGGATTGGATTAGATTAAAACTTGTAAAAATAGGTCGTTATTCTCTTTATTTTAAAAGCATTCATTATTTCATTGCCTTTTATTCCCTAGTGGCCTGTAGAAGTAAGCCTCTTCTAGAAGAGTTTTCAGATATAATTTTTAAATCATTTTGATCATTAATAAAAACTTACGAAAAAAATTCGATATATTTTTTAATTTGCTTATTCCATATAATTTTAGTTAGTGATTTAAAATGTGTTAAATTTCCTTACCTTCGAGATAGTAGTATTGGAGATATCTGTAAAAAAGAGACATACAATATTAGGAATCGATCATAAAAAAAAAAAATTTCAAAATAATTTTCTAAAATTAGGATTCTAAAAAAACAAATTTTATTTAATATTCTACAAAAAAGCTTACTTCATATAAGATTTTATTTCTTTATTTGTAACAAATATAGCTTAATACCGGACAGCTTTAACAAAGCTTTTTAGTAAAAAGCTTTTCAATTAAAAGTTTAGTTGTTTTCCCAAACTTTTAAACTTTTCTTTAAAAAAGCTTTTAATCTACTACTATTAATAAAGCTTTTATTACTAAAGAACTATTATTTAAAAGTGTTTATGTAAAAAGCTTTTTACAAAGAAAGTTTCTTTCGGCCTATTTTCTTTCACTGACAACTATTTTTCAACCAAAGAGCTTTTTTCATTTATAAATTTATAAAGCATTTTCATTAACACGATTTTTTTATCAGAAAGCTAAAATATTATTATTTTGGGTCTTCTTGGGGAAAATAGTTTTCTTTATAGAAAAGTAATAGTGTCTTCTTGGGAAAGACAGTTTTTAGCATAGACAAACAAAAGTGTCTTCTTGGGGAAAATAGTTTTCTGTATAACAAAGTGTCTTCTTGGGGAATATAGTTTTCTGTTTAGAAAAGTAATAGAGTCTTCTTGATAGTTTTTAGTATAGAGAAATAAAAGTGTCTTCTTGGGGAAGACATATTTTTGTGTCTTCTTGGTAGTTTTCTGTATAGAGAATTAAAAGTGTCTTCTTGGGGAAAATAGTTTTCTGTATAACAAAGTGTCTTCTTGGTTTTCTGTTTAGAAAAGTAATAGTGTCTTCTTGGGAAAGACAGTTTTTAGTATAGAAAAAATAAAAGTTGCTTCTTGGGGAAGACATATTTTTGTGCCTTCTTGGTAGTTTTCTGTATAGAGAATTAAAAGTGTCTTATTGGGGAAAATAGTTTTCTGTATAACAAAGTGTCTTCTTGGGGAAGATAGTTTTCTGTATAGAAAAGTAATAGTGTCTTCTTGGTAAAGACAGTTGTTAGTATAGAGAAATAAAAGTGTCTTCCTGGGGAAGATAGTTTTCCGTTCAGAGAGGTAAAAGTGTCTTCTTAGTGAAGACAGTTTGCTGTATAGAAAAGTGTCTTCTTGGGGAGTATAGTTTTCCAAGAAGACACCCCAATAAGACGTTCTTTTATACAGAAAAGTAAAAGTGTATTCTTGGCGAAGAGTTTTTTTCTGTATAGAAAAGTGATAGTGTCTTCTTGGGGAGACAGTTGTCCGTTTAGAGAAGCGTCTCTTTGGAGAAGATAGAAGAGAGGCGTTTTCTAGGCGAGGACAGTTTTCTGTATAGAAAAGTGTCTTCTTGACTAAGGTAGTTTTCTGTGTAACAAAGTATCTTCTTAGGGAAGACAGTTTTATGTATAGAAAAGTGTTTTCTTAGGGAGGATAGTTTTCTGTAAAGAAAAGTGACTTCTTGTTGAGGATAGTTTTCTGTATAGAAAAGTGTCTTCATGGGGAGGACAGTTTTCTGTAATGAAAAATGGATTTTTGCGACAGTTTTCTGTATAGAAAAGTTACTTCTTTATTAAGACAGTTTTCCGTATAGAAAAGTGTCTTGTTCTGTATAGAACTCTAACTTCTTTGGGAACTATTTTCTTTTGTTATTAACTTTATTGCTGAAAATGTTCTTAAATTAAGTACAAATCGTGCTCAAATCAAGAACATTTTGGTATTAATTCAATCTTTCACATTCCAAATCAATCCGATTTTCCTCTGAATTCTCAAAATAAAGGCTTAAAATAGGATTTTTTCGTACTTATGAGATCTGACTTGAAGCAAGCAAGTATTTTGTACTTGTTTTAAGAAAATCCGTACTTGATTTGAGTACGCATTTACTCAACTCATTTTATAATTTTAAATTTCCAAACAAAATATTCAAAACACAGCTTTAGAAGTTTTCTTATATATATTTAAATATATAAAAATGAATGTGTGTTTGTTTGTATGTTTGTATGTTTGAACGTTATAGACTACTAAACGGCTGAACCGATTTTCTTGAAATTTTCACAGCGTATTCCGGCATGTCTGGAATAGGTAATAGGCTACTTTTTATTTCGAAAATTGAAGTGGGCGATGAGCCACGCCCACATTAAGAAAATATAAAATCCGTATATTTGAGATAATATAACAGTTAGAGTCCTCAAATTTTTTCGGAGCCACTTTAGTGTCAATATGATCATTTAGGACAAAAAGTAGGCGGACTAGCATTAGGGGGCGTGGCACCTCCCATATAAATTAGACACAAAAATTCGTTTATCTGGGAAACTAATATAACTAAATTCTTAAAATTTAGCACGAAGAACTTTAACATCCATGTAAACATTTTGATTCGTTGATCTGGGAAACTAATAGAACTAAATTCTTAAAACTTTGCACGTGGCACCTCCCATATAAATTAAATACAAAAATACGTTTATCTTGGAAACTATTACAGTTAGAATCTTAAAATTTTGCACGAAAAACTTTAACCTCCATCAAAACATTTTGGGTAATAAATTGGCGGACTACCCATGAGGGGAGCGGCACCTCCTATATTAATTAAAGACAAAAAATCGTTTATCTGGAAAATTAATGGAACTAAATTCTTCAAATTTTGCACGAAGAACTTAAATATTCATTTGAACATTTTGGAGGAAAAAAGCGGTCTTTCATCTGGGGGGTCTTGAAGCCCCCACATGAATCAAATAGAAAAATTCGTATATCTGAGAAACTATTAGAGCTAGAATCTTCAAATTTTACATGGAGAACTTTGAAATTCATGTGAACATTTAGAGCATAACGGGTGGACTTTCAATGGGTGGCTTGGCACAACATATATGAATTAAATACAAAATTTCGTGCATATTGGAAACTCTTATATTATTCAAATTTTTTATAGATAGATAGAAATTGGCGATAGATAGAAACTGGCGAACTTGCAATAATTTGCTTGACATCTTTCATATGTTACATATAATAAATCTGGTATTTATTTATACATATTCCTTTTAGGGTAGCAAAGCACACAGGGTATAGCTAGTATTTAAATAAAAACTTAACAGGTATTTGATGCCATATTATAAATTTCTAATTTTAATATTTTAAGAAAATTTATATAAATATTTGAATTAAAATCTTATTAACGGTTTGAGGTGAAATGACTTTTCCAATAAACAAATAAATTATTAACACTTGTTTGAATATATATTTTTCCAATATTTATTTACTTAAACAATAAAAAAAAGATAATAAATATTTTTATTTATATTTAACAAAGATATGAACAAAACCAACTATAAACAACAACACTTAGGATTGAATTGAGAACAAGCCAAGTGTAAAATTTCTAAGAAATTTCTATAATAAATACAACAACAGCAAAAATTCACACGAATCTAGAAACAACAAACAAAATAAAAGAATTTTAAATAAAAATTATATAAAAATATTAAAAAAAATATATATACAACAAGTGAGAATGAAAAGTATAATGAAAAGTGAAGGTGTGAAAAAATTAAGAAAAATTTTTAAAAGAACAATTGAAATTTAAAGTTGTACAAAAAAAAAATCAAAAGTTAACTTAGAAACTTACTAAGGAAATAATAAGAAAATTTCAAAAAAAAAAAAAGTAAAAATATTAAAAAAAAAAAATATGAAAAAAGTTAAACCCCACCTTAGAAAAATGTTTAACTTTAGCAACTTTATCCTGCTGATAGTAGTGTTGGCAGTGGTGTCACATAATGTGCAGGCAAAACTTCAAACGAATCATAAACATCAACAACATCAGGCTCACCAAACACACAATTATAAACATCATAAGTTTAGCGGTGATATTAATACAGATGATAAGCTAGAGCAACAACAACAACAACACCAACATGGACATCATAATAAACATCAACATCATTCCCACCACCATCATCAACAACAGCACCAACAGCATTATAACGCTGACACACCTAGTTTAGAATTCACAACCAGTTCTTCTATTTCATCAGTTTCATCAACCTCCGCTTCCCCTGTATCTCTGAGTAGTGATAATGAGTTTTTAATTAAACAACAACAACAACTGCCTTTTACTAATAAGGACGAAATCTATTATAAAACAAAAGATCATAAAGTTGCCTCTTCAACATCGTCGACAACATCAAAGCCTTCACTTTCTATACATCTGATGAAGCAACATCTTCGTAATATGAAAAAGTCAAGTTCAAACTATATGAGCATGCAAACTGAAACTTTGTCTAATTCTAGACAGGAACACACCCATCTTAAGCACTACAACAACAGATTAATTTCAACGCCTTCAACCACCAAACACCAACAGGCCAGCAACAGTCGCAGCAGCAGCAGTGATGACGGTGGCATTGACAATCATCAGTCAGACAATGTGGTTGCAACAATGTTTTCCTCGCCAACAAATGAAAATTCTAAATGGAACTTGCCAAAAACAACAACAAAAGATAACAACACAAAATTAAATGAAACAGCTGAACTGGAAAATCATGACAATAATCAACATCATCATCATCAGCAACATAATCATGATCATCATCATCATATGCATCAACATAAGAAACCAGAATATCTCAATGAACAACCGGCTCAACAAAATTATGAAGATTATTATTCTGATCAAGAAGATGATGATGATGATGATGCTGACAACGACGACGATGACTACAATGAAGATGAAGGTGATAACGACAATAACGATGGCATTTCCTATGACGATGATAACAATTTAAGTGATCGTTCATATGCCAGGATAACTCGTTCTAAACTTGATGTAAGTATAAAGATTAAATTAATTGCAATATTTGATTCTTGCTATATATCTTATAAAAATTACTAATGAATCATGTCCGAAACAGTGCAGGTAAAAAAAATGGCAATTAGTTTAGCTTTATGGTCCTTCGTAGTCATTGTTTAATCATTTAAACTTATCACTGCTCTGTTTTGCTTGCCCCTTTAAATATGCTACATAATAATTAGTATTACAAAAAATGCCGGTTTTTAACTCATTAACAACTAGTTGTTAATTTAAATAACGACGTAAAAAAAAACTTAAAATATTAGATTTTATTAAAAAATAGTTTAATCGTGTTTCCCCTTCTCCCTTTTGTTGTCTTGGCCCGCCTTAACTTATTTTCTGTGTCCCACACCATATGATAAAAACATTTGCACAGATGTACTCTTGCTGTGCTGCTTTACAAAATTGTTAAATAATTGCTAAGAGTTTTTTTTTCTTCACGTAATTAACAAATGATCAAAATGTTAAAGGGGAAACCCGCCAAATTCTTGTTTAGCTATTGCCATAGACATAACGACCACCCACTTAAAAGTGCGCAGAAGTCTGAAAGTGTAAATTCTTAGTAAAATTTATTTTAAAAGAAGAATTTTTATTAAAAAGCTTTTTTTTATGAAAAAGAGCAGTTTTAAGGAAATGTTCTAATTTTTAAAGTTTTTTAAAAAGAGCTTTATAAAATAGCTTTTCAGAAAAAGTCTTATAAAATAGCTTTTCAGAAAAAAGCTCTACAAAAGAGATTTTTTATTAAAAAGCTCTTAATATATAAAAAGCTTTTCCATAAAAAAAGATCCAACACAGTTTTATTTCGCAAAAAGCTCTATAAAAGATTACTTTTTTTTTTTGACCAAAAGTTCTAAAAAAAGAACATTTTCCACAAAAAGTTTCAAAAGCAAACTTTTTCACAAAAAGCTCTAAAAAATAGCTTTTTAAGAAAAGGCTCTATAAATGAGTTTTTTCCACAAAAGTCTGTAAAAAAGAACTTGTTTCACCAAAAAGTTAAAAAACGTTATTTCACAAAAAGCTCTATAAAAGAGTAATTTTTTCACAAAAGGCTCTAAAAAATAACTTTTTTTTTGACCAAAAGTTCTAAAAAAATAACTTTTTTTTGACCAAAAGTTCTAAAAAATAACTTTTTTTGACAAAAAGTTCTAAAAAATCACTTTTTTCACAAAAAGTTTCAAAAACTAACTTTTTTTACAAAAAGCTCTAAAAATAGCTTTTTTAGAAAAAGCTCTATAAAAGAGTTTTTTTCACAAAAGTCCCTAAAAAGAACATGGTTTCAGCAAATGTTAAAAACAACATAACTTTTTTCCACAAAAAGCTCTATAAGAGTTTTTAACTTAACTCTTTTTAACTTAACTCTTAAATTCAGCAAAATTTCTAAAAAATAACTTTTTTCGCAGTAAGTTTTAAAAACTAACTTTTTTCATAAAAAGCTCTAAAAAATAACTTTTTCACGAAAAGCTCTATAAAAGTGCTAACAAAGTTTTTAAAAAAAGCCCCTTTTTCAAAAACAGTTCTATAAAAGAGTTTTGTTTTTTTCCATAAAAAAATAACTTTTTCACAGAAAGTTTTAAAAACTTACTTTTTTCATAAAAACTTTTTTTATAAAAAGCTGTAATGAATAATTTTTTCACATAATGCTCAATAAAGAGCCTTTTTACAAAAAGTTCAATAAAAAAAAACTTTTTTATAAAAAGTTACAGCACAGTTAACAGTTAAAAATTTGTTTTACAAAAAGTTCTATAATTAAGCTTCTTTACAAAAATATCTTTAAAAGATGTTTTTTTACAAAAATAATATCAATAACTCTTTAAAACAACACTCTCTAAAAGAGCTTACGAAATTCTAAATAAAATCTTTTTTTCCCAAAAAAACTCTATATTAAAGCATTTTCACATAAAGCTTTTTATTTTAATTCATAGAAATCTTAATAAAAGTGTGTTTTAAAGACATTTGTATAAAAAAGCATTTACAGGAAAAAGAGCGAAAGCTTTTTCAGAGAACTGATCACAGGCATTTTCAAAAATAAGCTATTTCAAAGAACTTTTTCAAAAATAATCTTTTCAACAAAGAACTATGAAAGAGGTCTATTAAACAGCTTTTTAAGAAATCTGGTCAATAAAATTTCTTTTTCAGAAATAAACTGTAAAAGATTTTTTGCAAAAATAAGCTCTATCAAAAACTTAAAATAAATATTTTCTATTAAAAGCTTTTTGAAAAATAAGCTCTATTAAAAGCTTTTTTAGCAAATAATTTTGAAAGAATCTTTAAAACAAACAGCTCTTTCAAAAAACTTTTTAAAAATAAGCTATTAAAAGCTTTTTTTAAAAAATTGTTTTCGAAAATGAACTTTATTAATGGATAATTTCCATAAAAATCTCTATAAAAGAGTTTTTTTCAGAAAAAAGCTTTATTAAAAAGCATTTGGAAAAGGAGCTCTATTAAAAGCTTTTTCAAAAATAATGTTTTCAACAACATTTTCGAAGATCTGGTCAATAAAATTGCAGAAATAACAACATTTAACAAAAATTTTTTAAAAAATAGTGTCTTCCACAAACTATTCAAAAAAGCTCCACAAATAACTTTTTACCAACATATAAAAATTTAACTTTTTTAAAAAAAATTTCAGCAAAAACGATTTCCACACAAAACTAAAAAAAATTCTTTCAAATGTATATCTTTCCATACTAGTCTTTTGTTAATTTCGCCACCTGATTTATCTTCGTTCAGAAAGCTTGTCACAAAGTCGACTATTCTGAAGTTTGTATGGATTTAACTTCCAGACGTTTTCATTGTTACTTTCAATATTGCAGAATTGAAATTATTTAACCAAGAACATTTCCTCATCTATTCTTTATAAAACTTATTTTCCTGATATAGATTGATACAAGAAATACTGGCTCAGAGGAGTCTTGCGTTTCATCCCGATATGATTTCTTAATTTTGAATTCTATAAGACAGAATCCGACTATAGATCAGCACGAATTTTTAAAAGGGTAAAGTCTGTTAGACATGCCATCGCCACATCACAAGATCATATCACAGAGAATAGAACTTTTTAGGTCCTTATTGTATGATCATATAAAATAGTAAAATTTGTGTAATTTTTACTAAAATCAGTTCAACAAAGAGATCTAAAAAAGTAGATAATTCCGTATTTAAATGATTGATCCAGTTATGAATGATCTCTCAATGAACTTGTTCCTAGAAATTGGCGGTTTGAGAGTATAAAAGTAGTACAACAGAAATTTTTTGTCTCTATATATGTATATGACTTTCTTTTTTGTTCCCATATATATCTCACCTTTTAAGAATAAAAGTTCAGTTCACATAATGAACTGCTCTTTATGAAAAACACAATCGATTCATTTATTATTTAAACGGTAAATCAAGGAATTTTATTATGCTGCCCAAGTGAACAACAAGCTTTCTTTTGTTGGGAATTTGACAATGTCATGCCAATTTTTTTTTTAATATAAAACCAGATTTCCTATATATATATTATAATAGGTACAACATATGTATAACATACATATATATGTGTGACACTTTTAAATCATCATGCCACTAACCTTACGACACAAGCAATCATTATTGCAACACCATTCATCATGTGAATGGAATACTTACTGCTGATGACGATGACGAGTATGTTAAAGGTAAAATCGAAATTCCTTGGCAAACAACAAAGCTTCCTAATTGATTTAATTTACAACAGATATTCCAAATTCCATAAGCAAAAATGATGATGGCAACAGCAGAGATAAAAACCAGAACAAGGAAGATGATAAAATGAAAAGAAACAAGTTAGAGTGTGCTATAGTCGGCTGTGACGAATCTTAAATACTCTGCACTACTAGTCAAGACTATAGACGAGACTATAGTCAAGACTATAGACGAGACTATAGTCAATACTATACACCAGACTATAGTCAAGACTATAAAGGAGACTATAGTCAAGAATATAGAAGAGACTATAGTAAAGACTGTAAAAGAGACTATAGTCAAGACTATAAACGAGACTATAGTCAATATAGACGCGACTACAGTGAAGACTATAGACATGACTATAGTTAATACTATATAATTAAGACTATAGACTAGACTATAGTCATGACTATAGACGAGACTATAGTCAAGACTATACACGAGACTATAGTCAAGTCAAGACTATAGTTAAGACTATAGACGAGACTATAGTCAAGACTATAAACGAGACTATAGTCAAGACTATAAACGAGAATATAGTCAACACTATAGACGAGAATATATTCAAGACTATAGACGAGACTATAGTCAAGACTATAGACGAGACTCGTCAAAACTATAGACGAGACTATAGACGAGACTATAGTCAAGACTATAGACGAGACTACAGTCATGACTATAGACGAGACTATAGTCATGACTATAGACGAGACTATAGTCAAGACTATAGACGAAACTATAGTCAAGACTATAGACGAGACTATAGACGAGACTATAGACGAGACTATAGACGAGACTATAGTCAAGACTATATACGAGACTATAGTCAAGACTATAGACGAGACTATAGTCAAGACTATAGACGAGACTATAGTCAAGACTATAGACGAGACTATAGTCAAGACTATAGACGAGACTATAGTCAAGACTATAGACGAGACTATAGTCAAGACTATAGACGAGGCTATAGTCAAGGCTATAGACGAGGCTATAGTCAAGGCTATAGACGAGGCTATAGTCAAGGCTATAGACGAGACTATAGTCAAGACTATAGACGAGACTATAGTCAAGACTATAGACGAGACTATAGTCAAGACGAGACTATAGTTAAGACTATAGACGAGACTATAGATGAGATTGGCTGGAGAGGCTTTGGGACTAAGCGTTGGAAATGTGGTGGTGTTAATTGTATATGATACAGGATGAATGACGGAGCTCATCCGCCCGTATACCTTGAGTGAGTCGGTCGAAAGATGTTCTCTTATGAG